CGCCACACAGGATTATGTGGCTTATCTGGCGCATGTCTACATATCCTGCTGATAGTTTTGCTTAACCTTTTAAGAATATCATTGGATCTGGGAAGAATTCCGGCCTTCCTGCATTCCTTCATGAATGGCTCATCCACCGAACGTATCGGTGGGAGCTTCCGAAGTGCCAGTCTATCCCTGATCAGATCTGGAGTCCTACTAGTGAAGGATGTGTCTCCTGGGTGGTGCAGCTGAACTGCTGGCGGGTTTCCCCGCATCGGAGCCTCTGTTGCTGAAGAGGCTGCGGCTCCTGAAGAGGAGGAAGCTGCGGCAGCAGCGCCTGGCGGGTTTCCCCGCGGAGATGCGCGACTGGCGCTGCCCCTGATCTTCGGCGCCCATTTACCCCTCGACATAGCACCTTCATCGGACCTCCTGGAACGAGCCGCCACAGGCGAAGCTGGCGCAGGTGCATACTCACTGCGCTCGAAAGCTGCCGCCCGTTCCGCAATGGACTTGCTGCGGCTAAGCGAACGTCTTCGTTCCTCAGTGGGGTCCTGGGGTTGCTGCGTGGGCACGATGCTGGTATAGGAGCTGTGCGTTTCGGCGCCGGAGGCGGCTTAGGTGTCGGGGGTTCACTCTTGGCCTTCGAAGTTAGTGGGAGTGGGGGCTTTCTAGCCCCCTTCATGTAGAGCTTGCTGGAATCCTCCAGCATCTTGCGAGTTGCCTCGCGTGTGCGTTCATATACTGTCTGAATACGCTCCTCATCTTCCGCCACACGTTGAGCCTTTGTCTCGTCCTTGATGATCGGCTCTGGTTGTTGGGACTGGCTAGAGACGCCAGGCGAGTTTCCTCGCAGACCAGGAAGACTAAAGAGCGCGTCTTTCTCTTCCTGGGTCATGGCTACCATTCCCCTTGGAGCCGGAGTAGGTTTCTCTTCTTCTTTCGGATCCAAGTGGCCCAAAATCCCGAGACGACTATTCACTGCTGCGATCTCTTCCGGTGTCATCGGGTCAAGTGGCGGATGGCCCTCCTTAGGAGGGGTTTTGCCCCTGTTGGGGCTCAGGCCTTCGTTGTTTCCAACGGGGCATCCTGGCCTGTGATTCTGGAACGGCTGGGAACAAGGACCACATGCTGCGTGAGGCCTATACTGCTTGCGAGCCGCGATAATATCTCGCAACTGGGTCCGCGCTTCTTGAATTTCAGGGCGGCGGATGTTTGTTGCAAGCTGATAGCCTCCACGGATGGGTCTGCCATCGCCGTCCCTATAGGCAGGATTGCCCTGGCCGAAGGCCGAGTGTTCCCCTTTTCGGCGTCGTGGGTCGTTATATGGAAGTAGCTGGCCACCTCTTCTGGCAGCGTGTTCCTTTGGGCCAGCCTGTCTCCAATCACGAGGGAGTCGAGCCTGAGGATGTGGCTCTCCTCTGACGCGCGTATGGGAACGAGATCTTCTGGTGTTCTCATCAGAAGAGGCTGCTGATGCAGCAGGAGCGGCACCCGTTGGAGGTGCTTGAGGAGGCTCCTCTGCGATCCCAGGTGGATCGCTCGATGAAGGCAGGTCTCCCTGCTGGGTGGAGCTCGGCGCAAGTGGCTCTTGTGCCGATGGTGATGATGATTCAGACTCATCAGGGTCGAAATCGACCTCTTCCTCACCAGTCACGTCCATCATGAGGATGGTGACGTCATCCTCATTTAACCCACAACCATCGCCTTCTACTTCTTCTGATGTCGAACTACCAATTATGATGGCCATTGGCGCATCTGGTAAAGGCAGGTTTCCCTGCATGGCCGGCGTCTGGGCGTCACTCGGCTGTCCTGGAGTAGGAGGCACAGTCGTCGGCTCAGGGTCATCGACGAGCATAGGCTGCCTAGCAATGTTACGCATGGCCGTATGGTTTGGCCTCATCCCCAGCTCCTGGAGATTCCATCCTGGCGGGGGAAGATCATGACCACGCATAGCCATTGCCATTTCCAGGGCACGACGCCATCTACCATGGGAGTATACTAAGTGTCGTTGCACTTCCTGAGGATTTACACTGTCAATGAGAGACAAAGCTGCCAAGAGTAGCTCTGAGCTACCGCAAGCATCATTATCATTATCTGTCATAATACCAGCTTCAATTTGCTCTTGACTCTCAGGATATGCAATTGCAAGTATCTCATGCATCCACATGAGGGTCTGCAATAGTGTACGCGGCCCATATTCGCCTGGAGCAAGCGCACCAGGAGGTATGAACGGAGAACCTGGTTCACCTGCAATGAAGGCCTGAACAAATGCTTGAGACTCCATTTCAATTAAGTCTTCAATAGTATGGGGATATTCTCCCAGCAGAAAAGGCCTGTGTCCAGGCGGGATTTCGGGCGGAGGTTCGAGGTTCCGTTGAACCTCGGAAGGCGAAGCCTCTATAGTGGAGTCCTCGTCGTCGCTCTCGTAGGCCATGATGTTGCCTGGGTTCCCGAACATCCAGTCGAAGAAGGAAAGAGGCTCGTTTCCGAGCGTACCGTGTTCCACGGGAGTGAGTTCATTACTGCCCGTGACGAACCGGCGGACGTACTCGAGGTAATACGCGTATAATCCATGACCAAACCCCTCGAGCTCGTCAATGTTGTCCATGCCAACGACCCATGTGAAAAATATCTGTTCCATAGCCTCAAAGTCCTGGAGGCTCAGATACTCAATGGATGGCGTGCTTGAGCCGAAATGGACTTCGGACGACATGCCCTTTCCATTTCCCTTCGCTGGACAATCTCGCACAAGATGATCGGAACTACCACATTCATGGCATTTGAGAACCTGGCCGTCTCTACCTCGCGGGTTTCCCCTCCTACCTTTACCTTTACCTGAGGTCTCTCTACGGCCTTTACCACGGCCTTTTCCCCCAAAGAATATCTCATCATGTTGTTCATCTGAGAGCCTCTGGAGAAATGCTGCGATACCTCGCCCGTTCAACCTCCGACGACCACGCTTGCCTTTACCCTTTCCTTTAAAACTTCTGCGTATCCTCCTTCTAACACGACGCACTGGTTTTCGTGTGAACCTCCTCCACCTTCGCTTAGCCTGTTGTAACAGCCAGAATAAATGCTCAGCACGCTGATTGTCGTTATCCATATTCATGATATCTGACCAATCTAGATCTTCAACACCATGTGATGATATAGTGTCTGTGTCGGTGCCGGAGTCGAAATCTTCGTCTCCTAAATAGGTGGATACACCGTCGGTTAGGGGATTTGATTCCCCCCATAACGAGCGGTGTGGTTGTGGTTCTCTAGAAGGAGGGCTGGTTGCCCAGCTTGCTTGTGATCGATCCCCTGCTAATAAAGCAGTGGATTCTCCTGGGTCATCGGCCCATAGGTTTGAGGGCCCGTTTCCAGGCTGGACTTCAGTAGTCAAGGTAGTGTAGAAATTTCCACTACCAGATCCCCTTCCTCTTCCAAACACGGATCCTATGTTGCCGGGGGATCGTTCGGATAGGTGACCTACCGAACGCATCCTTTCCAGCAACTCATCATATTGTTGTTGTGTTCGAGGCATTTGGTGGTTGAGTGGCTGCAAGAAATGCATGGCTTTCTGGTTGCCGACGCCTAAGGCGCGGAATAGGATAGTAGCTAGCAGTTGGAAGTTAGGAAGGTCGAATCCCACCGACTGTGCCTCAAGTCGGGCCATTTCGAATCGGGTAAGAGTGACGTCGATTCGTTCCCCGTGAGGCACATGGAAGTCGATGAGTTGTGTGCCGGAAGTGAGCTGTCGCTCATCTTCCAGGCGTTCGAACTTCATGCTGAGGAGGAACATGATGTAAGTTACTGGGTCTGTGTGGACCCCATCAATGTCAGCACCATAGTTTATAATATCCGGCGGTACCCTCATGGCGAGTGTCCTCGCTAGGCCTCCCAGGCCGCGTTGTATTACGGCCGCTTGGGCCTGTGGCGTCATACGTCCGCTTGTAACGTTGAGCCACGCGTTGACCTCGTAAGTGTACTCACGAAAAGGTACATTACCCTGAGGGTCCCAGTATGGGCCATGTGTTTGCCCATCGGTGCTGTTATCTCCCCGACGCATGTGTGCGATTGCTGCCCCCAGCGCGAACCATATGATAGCGAAAACGATTAGCCCGAGAATGTGTAACGAAGGACGGTTATGATGAGCGGTGTCGCGCTGGGGTAGCGCCTTGTCGAGTCTTCGAGGCGCTCTGTCTGGCGGGATTCCCCGCCCTTGCTTCAGGTATTGCGTTATTGGCTCGTTGCCGAGCGGTTGATAGTAACGCAATGATGAAGCGTATATGGTACCAATCTGGTCGTCTAGACGTCGTACCTCTCGTGTAGCTTCTTGCTCTTGAATAGATCCTCGTACATGTACTGGGAGTGGTGGCGCAGGGTAGTAGGTGGTCACGAAGATCGTGCCGAAGAATGTGAGGCTGAGAAGAGCAAGAGCTGACCACACGAGAGTGCGGCCAGCTCCGCTACCAAGTCGAAAGTGAGCTTGGTAACTCAAATAGGGCATATAGCCTGTCATATAGCATCCGATTCCAAGGCGCTGACCGTGGACATCGGATGGCAAATAGCGTCCATCGCTCTGCTGTAGCTGTGAAGGTACAGTATGAGGGGTGGGCGGATAAGATAGGATAATATCGATGTAATGATCATTCCAGCACATAACGAACACTCGCGGTGTCCGGGCAAATAGGGCGCGCGTGCCTTGAGCCAAAGGCAGCGGCGCGCGAGCTATGCTCCCGATACTGTAACATCTCCCAAAGAGCCACCCTTAAAGTTATTGAAACTCGGTGAAATTCCTGCCAATCCTGTGGACAAAAAGAATACGCGGAGGGGTGCCTGCTATTTTCTGCCCCTCCCAGCACGCCAACAGGGGAGAGAGGAGAGCATTCATATTGAGTAACTGTGGGGAGGAGGAAAGGGAGGAGGAGGAGGAAGAGGAGGAGGAGGAGCAGCAACAGCAGGAGGAGGAGGAGGAGGAGCAGCAGCAGCAGCAGCAGCAACAGCAGCTGGACGAAGAGGCGGAAGAGGAGGAGGAGGAGGAGGAGGAGGAGGAGGATGAAAAGGACGGACGAGGAGGAGGAATCCTTGGGAGAGTGGTGTTTCCTTCCAAGTGACTTCAGCTCGTCGGTCAAGGGAGACTGGAGAACCAAAAAACTATCCACGCAGCCGGGGCCTCGGGCCTCCAGCGCGCAGGAAAACATTCACGAAGCAGGGGACTCTGGCGCGGAGCAGCGAACAACCTGCAACTTCGAGCTAGACGATTCGCACAAACTCCTTCTCCTCCCACCTCGACCTGCCCTCCTCATCCTCCTCCTCCTCCCCCACCTCCCCTCCTCCTCCTCCTCCTCCTCCTCCTCCTCCTCCCTTTCCGGACCTCCCTCCTTGCCTCCCCTGCCTCCTCCTCCTCCTCCCCCCCCCACCTCACACCTCCACCTCCTCGCCTAACCCCCTCCTCCGCCTCTCCTCCACCTCCACCTCAGCTCCTCCTCCTCTCCCTCCTCCTCCTCCCCTCCTCCACCTTCTCCTCCTCCCCCTCCTCCTCCTCTTCCCCTCCTCTCCTCCCACAATTCTCCCACCTTCTCCTCCTCCTCCTCATCTTCTGCCTGCACCTCCTCCACCTCGCTCCTCGCCTCCTCCTTCACCTCCTCCTCCTCCCTCTCCTCCTGCTCCTCATCCTTTTTTCCTCCTCCTCCTTTTCCTCCACCTTCTCCCCTGCACCTCCTCTCCCCATTATCCTCCTCCTCCTCCTCCTCCCCCTCCTTCCCCTCCTCATCCTCCTCCTTCCCCTCCTCCTCCTCCTCCTGCTCCTCCTCCTTCTCCTCTTCTTCCTCCTGCTCCACCTCCTCCTCCTCCACAATTACTTCATATGAATACGACTCTCCTCTCTCCTCCGATGGCGTCCAAGGTGCAGAAGCCCTCTTCCGCATATGGTGTTTTTACACACAGGATGCGATTATCTCCCAGGGTTGTTTGTTTTTGCTCATATGTGTTTTTCAATCCGATTGTGTTCGGTTCTTCCAAAATTCTTGCTCCCGCTGCAGCGGTGGCCTCATTTTCGGGCTTCCGCTTTGTCGGGATCCTCCAGCGCATTGTCTTTTTTTCAACCGTTCTGGCTCAGGCATCGTCCTGGGCTTGCAACAACAAACTACTTCAGAACGGCCACTTGCTGTTGCGGGTCATTCTGGCTTTCATCCCCGCGCAATTCGAAGGATCTCAACCCTCAGTCTTCGACTCCTCCCAGCCCCGCTGGGCATCAGGAGCCACGTTCGAGTCATGGCGGGCGGCAGTGGCCCTGGCGGTGGCGGCGGCGGCAAAGGGCGGGTTTCATGGACTCCGTGGCACGCGCACTGGTCGTCTTCACCACCCTCGCAGGGGTCTACTACGACTCATGTTGGTGGCAGCGGCGCTGGCGTTGCTTGGCCCCCTCTCAAGCCTGGGCTGCAGCCAGGGTGGACAGGGGGCAAAGGCGGCTCTCGCAGCCCGCGCTGGTCATGTGGTTGGTACGGTTGTCGGCGCAGCGAGGCTCGGCTCTACTTCTGCAAGCTCTGCGGCGCGCTCAAGGCCGACGCTTGCATGGAGCAGTCCCAAGGTTCAGCGCTGGCTCTCTTCCCTGGGAAGGGCGGCGCCGCCGCAGACGCCAAGGGCGGCGGCCAAGGAGAGGGCAAAGCTGGCGCGGGCGCGCCAGTTACTGGCCCTTTGCTCACAGCCGACGAGTATGAACAGTTGGCATCGCTCTGCGACAAGATGCGTGACAAAGCTGCGGCTTCAGCTCATCGCGCGGCGGCGGCGGCCCTTCGACAGCCTGCTCGGGCGCCTGCGTCGTCGCACGTGTGTTTGGCCAAGGCGCACAAAGATGCAATGGGCATCGAGAAGAAGCTGGGCGCCGCGTGCACTCGCTTTGAGACGTTGCAGTCTCAGTTGGAGGAGCAGCGCGCGACGATCACCAAGCTCCGCCAGGAGATGCTGGAGACTCAGTCGGTGCACGCGGACTTGGTGGCGCAGCTGCACAAGGAACAGTCAGCTGGTCAGGAGGTTCCGCCGCCTGCTTCTGGCAAACTGTCCTTGGACACGCTCTTGGATGAGGAGCGGCTGGCTGAGCTCTTCGGCGGCGTCGACGCGTCCTCGCTGTGCATCGACGAGGACGCAGTGCTGGATGAGAATGATCAGGCCGAGATCAGCGAGCGGATGGAGAAGTTCAAGTCGGGCTTCGGCGCGCTGGCAAAGTCCTTGTTTGCGGAGGCTCGCTCGAAGGTGGAGGCGATTCGCAAGGGGCACGCAGAGCACGCCAAGCGGCTGGCGGCCAAGAAACAGCGGACCGGCGATGGTTCGGCAGTTGGCGGAGGAGCGGCGGCGGCTGGCAGAGCGGGCTTAACCGCCCGAGGGCCAAGCCGCGCCAGTCGGTGCTGCCGCCGGAGTCCCTGATGCAGGTGCTGCCTCAAGTTCTTCCGACGTGGCTTCGCGAGCGGATGCCATCATCGGTAGCGCACCCAATTCGTCCCCCCCTGGAGGCTCCAAGGCCTGAGGCGGCTTTTGTGGCTGCTCAGCGGCTCCTCCGCGTCCTTCGCTCATCTTTTGAGCGCTTCCAGGGCTGTAGGTTTCTTCGGATGCAGGATCGCTTCCAGGGGGGAAACAAGGCTTCTATGTTTTTTTCCTTGTTTCTCCTCTGCTCGTGCTAGTCTCTGGTGCGCAGAGGGCTCGAGGTAGCTTGCTCACGCTTCTCTGGCGCAAGTCATTTGAGCAGGACATCGCAGCGAACTCGCCGACGACGGCTTCTCGCTCGCTCTCTTTGTCTGATTGCTGCGCAGGTCGGAACGCCCGACGCGCAATCACTGCAGACGCATGGCGCTAGCGAGGGCCCGCCTGGGCCACCCTGCGTTGCATTAAGGGCCCGCTCGGGCCACACTTCGTTGCGACTAAATTATTCGGATCAGCTGGCGCGCTGCGCCTCGCGTCTGGCATCTCAGGCGGCGGTCGCTTGAATGCAGCCAGCGCCGTTTTATCCCGTGATGTCCTTGGGGAAGCCTGGGCGCAGGTGCAGTTGCATCCGCATCCCGATGCAATCTCCTTTGTCTGCTTCAGTCGCTGAGGTTTCGGACTCGCGTCCGGGTGCTCAGCTTCCATGCCCTGGCGAGTCAGGCAGCAGCTCTCCGCCCCCTCTCGCTCCTCACCTTGGTAGCGTGTCTCTCCAAGTTCAGACCATCAACGGGAACTCTTGGGGTCGGCTTCAGGACATGCTCGTGGGCGCGAAAGCTCACGTCATCCTTTGTCAAGAGCACCGCCTTCGAGCAGAAGCCGATATCGAGAAGGCTTGCGCCTGGTCCATCCGCCGTGGTTGGGAGTCTGTCTGGACCCCCGCTTTGGCCACGGCTGACGACGATACTTCTTCGGGGGTGGCCATCTTCGCTAGGAGCTGGCTTGGAGTTGTGCCGGTTGCTGAACTTTCGCTGCCTGGCAGGCTGGTTGGTTGTAAGATCGAATTGCCTGGCGCGGCTCCCATTTGCATGGCCTCGGCCTGTTTCCACCATTCGGAAGGGCTGTCTGATGCCAATCTCCGCATTTTGGCCAAGGTCGGAGAAGCCATGGATAGCATTCATACGCCTTGGTTGTTGGGGGCGGACTTCAATTTCGAGCCCCGCGAGCTGGAAGCTGCGAATTTCGTCGGGCAGGTCCGAGGCTCCCTTGTTGCGCCCTCAGTTTGCACGCGCTATCCAGCGGGCCCTCCCACCACTTTTGATTACTTCGTCTACTCGGGGGGGCTTGCGAAAGGCGCTCCTAAGGTTGAAGCGTTACTTGGCACCGAGCTCTCCCCGCACCGTCCTGTTCAGGTGACCTTTCATCCTTGTCTGGCTGTGCTGCAAGCTCTGTCCTTCAAGAGGCCGCCCCCCATCCCTGCTGCGAAAGTCTTCGGCCCCGATCCGGAGGGCTCGTGTTGGGGCCTGGAGCTGGACGTGATCCATTCTGCTGTGGCGTCGGTGGAGCGAGGTGATTTTTGGTTTGCTTTCGACGCCCTGGGGCCCCTCTACCAAGCTTGGGCCAGCAAGGCTGAGAGAGACCTGGTTCCGCTCATTGGCGACGCCCCGACTATCTTTGGCTCCCGAGGCGCTGGGACTCAGCTCGCGTGGCGCAGCATTCTGCATGGGGATGGGCAGGTGCGCTACCCTGCCCGCAGATCGATCAGATGGCTTCATCAGCAACTCAGAAGGTACATTAACTCGAGCAGAGGTTCTGCTGCCTCCCCATCTTCTGTTCGTCTCCGCAAGGTGCCGCAGAACCCTCCGTTCAGCATCGTGGGGGCTTCCGCCGACTGCGCTCCGCTTTTCTCGCGGGTGGCGACCGCGGTGGCGAGCGTAGATGTAGATGGCCTCGCGCCCGTGCTCACTGAGGTCTTCGAGGCCGTCCAGGCCGCCGACCAGACGTTTACTGCCAAGAGCCGCAACGACTGGTCTTCTTGGTTGCACGTCGGGCTCGATCAAGGGGCTAAACGCGTGCGTGAACTCCTGAAGGACCCGTCCCCCTGGGTGGCCAGCACGACTCTCGCCGCTAATGGCTGCGTCGTTGCCGACCCGCTGTCTCTTCTGAAACAGGAAGGTCGGAGGTTTGCGGGTCTTCGGGAGTCTGGATTGGGGTCTTTTCCGAGCGGGGTACTTGTGGAACCTCTTCCCCGCCTCTCACCTCAGGAGATTCGTGAAGTTTCGCGCAGCTACCGCCGCGCTTCGGCTGTAAGCGTGGACGGCGTCCACTGTCGTCACTTTTCGTGCTGCGCTCGCTTACCTCAGCAGTATTTTTTTCGTGATGGAGGCCGCGGGTTGCCTGCCTCCCCAAATTTCTCTTGTTCTGCTCGTGCTGCTCCCGAAACCTGCCGGTGGTTACAGGCCGATTGGGGTGTTCTGCTCCTAGTCCATGGTTTGGGGTCATTGTCGACGCCCTCTCGCCCTGCGCTGGGAGCTTGAAGCCTGAAACGGTACTGGGCTGCTGGCAAGTTTCGAGGGGCGGCCGACGTTGTCTGGAGACAAGCGATCCTTGCCGAGAGTGGGGTCACTAAAGGCGAAGCCTCTTGCAGCGTCTTCTTTGACATGTCCAAATTTTATGAGCACACTTCTTTGGAGTCCTTGGAAGATCGGTGTAGGGCTCGCGGCTTTCCCCTCGTCATTGCCCGCGTGTGCCTGTATGCTTACCGTTGCGGTCGATTCATGTGTCTAGGAGGCTGCGTCGACGGCCCTTACTTCGCTCGCAAGGGGGTGGTCGCTGGCTGCTCGATGGCCACGACGTTC